ACTCATATGCATATTTATTTGAGAGAATATAAAAAAACCGATGAATAAAAGTACATATGTTTGTGGTAAACTGATTTTATGCAATAAGTTTCATCTGCCCTTGATACAAAAAAGAAAATGTATATATCAATTCAATAAGCTGTATATATCGCAATTATGTAAGTGAATAAACGCAAAAAAAAATAAATAAGGACGTTGATTAAGTTGTTCATCGGGTTTTAGTGCTTAGATAACATAAAAGAAAAAAAGGCGAAAATGATATCAAAATTTTTCAAAGATTAGATAAGATATTATCATAATATAAATGGTAACAAAAACGTTAGTAAACCTTCGTATATTTAAATAATAAGAGTTTACTTTTCATATCATAATTTATCAAAGACAAAAGTACTTCTATTTTGAAAGATATTTTAGCTATGACTATAAAATCCGTAGGCTTACACATATTCTGTTTCGTCTTATCTTATCATTCTTTATTTCAACGAACAAAAAACACCCATAAAAGCAAATATTCATTTCAACATATAAGAGTACAGAGGTCAGTCGGATTTCAGTTGTGCCTCTTTTAGGTACGAAATGCACTTAAAATCACAATGAAAGATAAAAAAAAATATATATATGAAATTTGATAAAAATGCCCTTGAATTGTGTAATCTTTATATATAAATAAAAATGTAAAAGAGAAAAGAAAAGTTTTCCTTATCGTATGCCAGCGGACATTAAGATAAGACCATTTGTTTTAAATTCTCAAAAAAAAAAAAAAAATTATGTAAGTAAAAAAGAAAGAAAAATTGATTTTTTCCTATTTCTTTTTGTTTTGTGATTATTTTTGGATGATTAGTAATCAAAAAGATGAAGATTTTTCCTTTTCTTTGTAAGAATAATAAACACAAAGTAATTGGATTAGTTATTTTCTTTATTTTTTTGATCTTGATTTGACTTTTTCCTAAAATAGAATCATTGATAGTTTATCATGACGCTTACAATCATATGTTCGAAAACTACACCTTTTTATTGGTAGTTATAATGATTATTTACGTTCTGTTGCTTATTCTCAGTATTGTCTTTATTCTCAATCATTTCTTTTCTCATATAAATTACACTGCTGTTTCATTTTCTCACATATATATATATATATATATTTATATATACATCAATGTACACCTGTGTATATATGCACAAGCGAACATTGGTCTCTGATTTAAATCAGTGACGATAATGACGCAAAACAGACGCGTAACATGTATACACCGGAAATTATTAACGTTCTCATTATCGAAAAGATTGGGCAAGACGAAAAAGAAATTATATGCGTTTGTTTAGATCATATGATTATTCAGTTAGAACGTAATCATATATTCAAATATCGATATGTATCTTATTTTTCTTCAAGATTCTTTTAATTTTAAGTTGTTAAAAAACAATATAATTACAAATTTTGTTACATATAAATAAATACTTATCTATCATTTCAATCCTTTGAGGGCCGAATTTTTTTTTATCGAAAAAACAAACATTTTTCAACCTTTTTATTTTATTTTAACTCAAAATGGCTACATAAAAATTTTATGATAATCAGAAAAAAAGAATCTTTATCGTCTTTTAAACAAAATCGCAATTTGTAAGTAAAGCACTCGATGTTCGATCAAAAATCTGCTTCCTTGGTACTAAAATAAGCACAACTTCTTCTTTTTCCTTTCATAGGCAAATGCATTTCATTGTCCAAACGGTATGAAATGAAATAAAGAGTACAAGTTCGAAAGAGAAATGATATATTTTACAAATTCAAGAACAATGTAATTTCGTCAATGAGAACGGGAGTATATATATATATATTCAATATAGAATGAGAATATTCTCGAAAAACAAAAGATCAAAGAAGGAGAGAGAAATTATGATATCATTATATCTTAGCTGCAAAATCAAAGAATATTTGAAAAGTAGTTATATGAGAGAAGGAACGAAAGAAAAGAAAAGTATGAGATGAAAAATGTAGTTGTTTATGACCTTAATGACTTTACATATTTAATAGTTTAATGTGAAATAAACACTTTTTTTTGTTTACTGAAAATTAGATGGGTTAAAAATGACCCACCGATCCTCAAAGGGTTAATCAATGATAAAAGTGTATATAGACATCGAATAAGAAATAATAGATCGATAAGAAATGATCTATTCAATATTTGAATGAATACAAATCGTTTTGCAATCATAAGAAACGAAGGACGATGACGAATAATTCAAAAAAGAAACAGTATCAATGAGTATGATTGATTGCAAAAAAAGAGAGATAGTATACCTTTGTCTTGCCCCGTAATGTATGTATTCACTCATGCAAAACCGATACCATCACGATGCAAGATGCAAATAGACGCTAGTCAAAAAAATATATTTCGAATGATAATGTGTTGTATACTCAACTCTATCTGATCATCATCTATGTTTATTATTAATATAATCTGCACCTAAAGTTCATTATTATTACTATTATTAACAACATTAAAAAAAATTCTAGTTTTGAAAATATTCAACAATTTTTCTTCGTTTTTTATCAAATACAAATTATGTCATATGGTAAGCAGTATTTATATCGAGATATGTCAGATAATACTTCGTCACGGATGATAATTATATTGAAGGGGCAAAGGTTGCCAATGTTTATTTACATATTTTCTTCTATATTTCTTGCTTTTTTTTCTGTAGATATTCGTATGAATAATTTTATAGAAAAGAAAATTTGTTCGTGAGAATAATTGATAAGTTTTTTTTTTCAGCACAGTTGTTATGTCAAGAGAATGTGAAATGATGACGTATAGATGTTTTTTCATGCTTTAAATATATCCTTGATAGTTAAGTAAACGAATACCTATTCTTTTATGTAGTCATATAGAAGAAAGTCTATTGTTTACACATTCATTAGTCATTGTTTCCATTTGTTTGTATGTATGTTACTGTGTTGATATAACCTAGAAAGCATAACGACAAATAGGTTGATTCCGTTTTTCTTTTTATAAAGTATTTGAAATTACTAACAATGAATAAACTGAAACCTTTCAAAATAAAAGTGTTTATGTCTTGAAGGCTTTAGGTTATGAGTGTTTTTTTGCAAAATTTTTTTCACTGTTCACAGAGTAGACAAAAAAAAGTAAGACGAAGTATATTTTTCTTTTGGGGTGATGATGATTTAAAAATACTACAATATGCAATTATTTTTTTTTTTGTTAGATAAACTCATATGTCTATATATTTATGTTCATTCAAGATCATGACTCGTAATTTGTTTTATGTCATGGGTACTATGTCATGTAGAATATCGAATAAAGAAGATAAGTTTTGTTGATTTTTATACATATGTATTTATGTATGCTAATATTATTTTTCCGGGAGTTCTTTCATAAGTTAAATTTCCTGTGATAAAAGTCAAAAGAATTGTTGTATTATCTACATCGTGTATTAAGATAATAAACAAAGCAATTCAAAAAGAAAACGAGGACTTTTTTTAGACAAGTTTTAATATAAAGTTTAGACACGCTCTAAATATTAATCTAAAACAAATAGATTAGAAAAGAAAACTGACAAATGTCATTTTTTTCAATGCTCATGAAGTCATGATGTTTGTTTCCCTTTATAGAACTGATGTGTATTCAATTATTTGAAGGCGTAATAAAAAAAAAAATTGAAATTCGAAAAAAAAAATCTCTGAATAATAGAATTTCAATTCTAATCAAATGCATCTTGTCGGATAATAACAATTTCTTACTTCTGAATGTTTACATATCATTGTTATTCATTAAAAAAAAAAAGAAAATTAAGTAGACATTCCGAAGCCAAAATAAATAATAATCACCCGATGGCACCTTTTCTTTTTTCTCTATACAAATACAAATCATATTTCTTTTTTTTTCGTTAAAAAGAAAGTGACAAAAAATCTTCAGAAATCTTTTTGAATACATATTTGTTTATAGTAGTAGATCAAAAAGACATAAAGTAGGTAGTATTTTAAGTTTAATTATCTTTTTTATTCTCTGTTTTTTTACAAGATTACAAGAAAGGTTAAAATAACTTGGATTTATCTAGAAGCAAAAAAAAAAAAAAAAAGAGATGAGTAATAATCAAAATCAACAATTTGTTGGTTACAGATGTTTGCATGGGTGATTTTTTTCTCACTACTTACACTTAAACAACTGTGTAAAAATCCCAGTAAAAAAAAAAAAGTTGATGTTTTTTTTCTCTCTATGATGTGAACAAGAAAAAAAGAAAGAATATAATAGTATTAAATAAAGAACAGAAGAATTCTTTTTTTTTTCTAATTCGATGCACATATATCGCGCATAATTATCCTTTATTGAACGGGTAAGGTCTTTATGTCGCTCCTTTTTTCCATGACCCTACAGGTCCGTCAATAAACCGGCAAAACTAACAAGACGAGAAAAAGATGATGAGAGAAAAGTCTCTGACAAGTTACAGAACTAGAACACCTAATGAAGATATGAAACACGTGTAAAGAACTATTTTTTTTTGTTCTTTTTTTTTCCTTTTGCATCTTATTACCCTGTCAAATAAATTGCGTCACGCCTGTTCACATCATTCATTCAATGTAAATTGTAGTAACATGTTCCATTTGATGTGTCTAATAAACAACATTTTTCTCTTCTCATCATCGTTCTGTTTCTCCGGTTAGTTCCTCTTTTTCTTTTTTTTCTCCATTTTTTAGACAATCTAAAAGAGAAAAAAAAAAATGAAGACCAAAGAAAAATTTTTCTTTCCTCTTTTTCTTCTTCGTCTTATTCTACATTTTTTTTTTCATTTATGTAGAAATCTCTCTCATATTCTTTTTATTTTTTTTTTACAGTCTCATTTCTTCAATCTTCTCTCAGTTTTTTTTAAAAAAAAAAACAAAAACTTAATGAACGATTGTCTGTCATCATATTACTCGAGAAAAAATACATATTTTTTTTTTTTTAATATTTAATTTATATGAACATTAGTTTCTTCAACAAATGATAATGAATACAAATACTAATAGAATATTCGAACATCTAAACATATTTTCTATTGATTATTATATAAAACAACAACATCAACAGCACTATAATGAGATTGACATAAATATAACATCAGATCAACACGGTAAACATCACATACGTGACAATTAGATCCGATTAATTTTGTTTGTCTATTCATATTATTATTATTATTACTATTATTAACACTAATCAACCGATTGATCTTTTTCAGACGTGCGCGTGCGTATAAATCTATCTATATATAGTTAAATTGTTCATTTTGAACTTTTAATATCATTAATAAGAGCAAAGATTTATTTGATGTTAGGGAAAAAGAATTAATTTATTTTATTTTATTTTATATTTTTAGTCTCATTCATCTGAAATATTTTTAAAGCGCTATTATTTCGAGTCAGTCAAGCGTTTATACATAAAAACAATATGATGACGAGGGTTTTCTTTTATTATAGTGAAAGGGCTTTGTGATTACATTCCTCGAGTCAAAATAAGACGACACATATCTTTTTTTTTTTTTTGATTATGTCTCAAAGTATTGTCGTTAAGTTTTATATTTATATCAAAGATACATTTTTGAATTATTATCGATTTCTGAAAATTCTAATCCTATAGAATGAGAATTTTTTGAGAAAACTAAAATAATATATCAACTATAATCATGTAATAATGAAAATAAATTCTATTATTTTCTTGTTAAATTTGAATTTTTTTTTTCTAATAACATAAATTTTTGATCAATGAATATGTTTTTACAAAAATTTTCGCCGAAAAAAATTTTTATCGTAGTAACTATTGAAAAGATCGAATTCAGTAAGAAAGTAAACAAAAATTTATTTTTCATTACTACATGTTAATAGTTGATATATATTTGTAGGTTTTTTTTTGTTTTTGAAAATATTCTTATTCTATAGAATTAGAATTTTCAAGGTTTTTTTTTCAAATAATCAAAATGTATCGATAGTATAAATATAAAAATCAAACAATGATTTTGAGTAATAATGAAAACAAAATGTTATATATGCCATTTATGTTCGTCATAAAGAAATATAGATATCAATATACATCTGGTACTCTTTTTTTTTTTTGAGGATAAACATAAATTTTCTTTTTTTTTTTTTTTAATTTTATCTATTGATATGTCATATGTATGTCAATAGAGAAATAAGTTGATTTATTAATGTTGTGTTTATATACGTGATTTTATTTATTTGTTAAGAATTGAAAATGTCTCATACATAAAGAACTTAAGTTATTGTATAGTTCTAGTACCTAAAATATATAAATGAAGTTCTTTATAATCTATAAATATAATTTAAAAGTATGATAGACTAGTTTATGAATAATTTTTTCTTTTTTTTTTTGTTTAGACAAAAATTTTCAATCAAATATTAAAGACGAAAAAAACGATTCTTATGTTGATAATCATTTAATAACGTCATCTAATTCAACAGATAATATTGAACAACCATTATTAATTGTTCTTGATGAAGATGATATACAGAGTGATGATGAACATGAACAAATTAATGTAATAACAACTAATATTAATGCAAAAGATAATCTATCTAATAATCACGAATATGAAATAAATCTTTCAAATAAAAAATCATTAACAGGTATAAATTAATTTTAAGAACAAAAAAAAAAAAACTTTAAATTTTTTTTTGTTTCAGATAGACAAATTTTAAATAAATCAAAAACTTCATTTAAATATTCCAAACTTTCTCGTCATACTCGAAAATCCCATTTAAATCCATTAATAAACGATCATAATCGTCAAATATCGAATAAATTTTTTCAAACTTTTTTTATTGATACCGATTTTATGCGACAAACGCATTATCAACAAAATCGAAATCGATTAATATCACGTCGTAAAAATTCACATAAATATCTATCATCACCAACAATGTCGAATAATATAAATTCAAAAAATCTTACTATTAATGAAAATTCACAAAATTTATCATCAACTGATTCAATATTATCAAATATATCATTTGATAATATATCAAATATATTAACTGTTTCACGTATGGGTTCAATATTTTATTGTTTAGAAGATTTATATACGAAAGTATTTTCATCATTATGTACATTAGATGAATTTATTAATTTATTATTAAAATCTGAACTTATTATTATAAAACAAGTAACATTATCTGAAAAAATATCTATTGAACAACAGATGCCATCATTAAAAAAATTTCATGATAGTCGTTATCGTCTTATATCAATAAATTCATCAGATTATTTATTAAAATTAAAACAATTACTTCTAACATCTACAAATTTAAGTTAGTTCATTATTATGAAAATATTTATTTTCATTTTGATTTTGTTTTTGTTTTTATTTCTTGTTTGTTTTTCATATATAGATGAAAATGAATGTCAACAACGTGAAAAATATATCAATCAAATAATTGATGAGATGCGTAGTTATAGACGAACGCCAACACCTGTTCTATTAAAGGACAAAGGTAAAATAAGAATTCTTTCTTTTTTACTTTTTTGCTTTGTTTGCTTATGTATGCATATGTTTATATTATAATCAAGGTTTCTTTTTCTTTTTTAGTTTCACATTCACCAATGGCTACGAAACGTCTTTCATCGGATGATGATGATGACGATGATGATGATGAGGAACATGATGCCGAACCTCGAAAACGCTTGAAAATTGTTACAAAAAAACCAAAATCAAATGAAACACCACCGTTAGCACCAACACAATTTGGAATATTTATACAATGTAATGGTCCAGTGAGTTGTAATATATTTTCAACAAATGAAACTGTTTCATCAACAACAACAACAGCAACAGCAGCAACAGCTAGTGCAGAAACGACAGCAACAGCAGCAACATCAACAACAACAATTGCAACTAGTGAATCTGAAATTATATCAAAATCTACAATAATAAAAAAACAAAATGAAAATACCCATATGTATTTTGATAAATTTCATCAACAATATCAAAATATATCAAGATTTAATTTAATTAATGAACAATCTATTCAAAAATCTACAAATTTAAATCGAATAAATTCACAAAAGTAAGAGTAATTCATATTATTCATTAACAATATTCTGTCCTATAAAACATATAGTATATAAGTAGTTATATTAGCATAAAATCCTTAAAAAAAACTCGTCATCTTTTGTTATGTTGTAATTGAAAGAAACAAAATATAAAAATTCTTTTCTGCAATTGTAAGTACAATGAAGTATAAAATGACTCAATCTTCGTATCTAAAAAGTATTTATGCTAGACTATCAATTAATTCTACTAAATAAAATATATTCATATTTATAAATAGAATATCGATAATATACAAAAAAAAAAAAGATTTTCTTAAGATTTTTTCTACTATAAAATAGAATGTTTCCTGTTTTTGTCAGAACAAAATGTTTATTATCGATTAATCGAGATGTGTACACACATCTGTAGTTTTTTTGAATCAATATTTTATTTTATTTTTCTAATCTTCGGTAAAAGTATATTTGAGGATGAATAAATAATTGACCTACTAAAGGTATCTGAGGTCAAATAGAATAAAAATTCATCACGACCTGGATTGAAACAAGGCCAAAAAAACAATAATAAATTTCTAAGCTTGTAAATCTTAGTTCTTTTTTATCTTTGATATAAATTCTATTACTAATAGTATTGTTCAAAATAGTAAAAGTAAGTGGATTGAAATTATAATAGATTTTGATTGTTTTGTTTTTCTTTTTCTATACAAATTGCATTAATTATTTCTTCAATTAAAAATGTTGACATGATTTTCAATTTCTATTCAAGAAAATATTCTCGTATTTTCTAAGAAAATAATTTCACATTATCTATATCAATGATAATAGTATTAAATCAATATCTGTGTTTTTATTGAAAGATAATATATTATTCTAAAATGTTCTAATGACTCGTAAAATTTTTGGAAATAACTCATAGTCTCCAAAGAAAAGAAGACTTTCTTATAATATTAATGAATTTTTTTTTTCATTAAAAAAACTTATCAATAATCCTTTGGCATTAAGCTACAAAAAAAAAGTTATTAACAATAATCATGCCATATCAGTATACACCTTTAATAATAGTTATTAAATGTACGTTAGTCAAACATCAAAGTATATATAGTTAGCGATAATATTAATTTATCAATTAAGAAAAAACAAAAAACAAAATATCTTTTGTTTTTTTGTTTAGTCCTACAGATGATACTCATATAAATAAACAATGTTCATCATCATCATCATCATCATCATTGTCGTCTGTGATGAATATGCCAAAAAAATGGCGTATACTTAATTCATATAATAATGATATTCATGATACTTCAAGTACAACAAAAATTCATATACCAACATTATCAACAAATCATTCACGTTGTTTATATCGTTCAAAATCTTTTACATATAATAAACAATTAAATAAAAATCATTTACGTCGTTCATCTAGTTTAACATTAATAACATCTTATAAAAAAGAAAATTTTTTAACAATTAAAAAATTTCTAACAAGAAATAATAATACAAAATTAAATACTAAATCAACAACAGCAGAACCAATCGATTTAACTGATGAAAGTTATTCAATGCCAATGATTGTTAATGTTGAAGAAAATGTTGAACTTGCTAATCAACGACATAAAATCAAAAGTAAAAAATCAACTTTAACAAACAAACAAAATTTATCTTCAAACGTACCTATTATTTCAGATCGTGAACGACGTACACCTCCTACTATTGTATCACGTTCAATATCACATATACCTAATCCTTCAATATTAACTAAACCAACACCTATTCATCATCCAATTCCATCATCTTCTTATCGTACATCACCATATGATGTTTATCATCAAAATTCTTATACATATCGTGATCCATCATCATCAGCTTCTATACCACATTCATATTATCATCCAACAACACACCTAAATAATGGAAATCTTTATTCATATCCATTTTCTTCTTCAATACAATATCCAACAATGAAAAAATCTAAAGAATTACCTATAACAACTTGTTATGATATTCAATCAAATTCTGTTACATTACCTTCTTCATCATCATTATCAAATCATAATAATAATAATAACAATAATAATAATAATAATACTAATAATTATAATAATAATTTATCATCATCTGTTGTTATGCCTATTGTTCGAAAACCAAATTATTATCATCAATTAACACCTGAACAACAAGCATCAATTAAAATGCAAACATCATCAATATCATGTCGTTTACCTTGTTGTTTTCCATCATCAGCTATACAATCACAACATTCAACAGATAAATTAACACCAAATGAAAGACTTATCTATCGACAATATACAATTCCACCATCAACAACACAAACATTAAAACGTGATCCATCACAAACACCAGATATTCAACATTCATCACCAACTATTAATCGAAAACAACGTCGTATTGATTCTATACCAACAACATCAACAACACCATATTTACCTTATCCATCACCAAAATCATATTTTGTTCCACCAGCACCGCCATCTTCCGCATTCTCATCATCATCATCACATTGGCCATCAACATCTCCTTCAATAACAACAGCAAATCCAAATATAAATCCATCTATGCGTTATCCATATCCACCACCGCCAAATACACCGATGAATGGAATGGCATTACGTAAAACTGAACCTTATCCTCCACCACGTCGTCCAATACCTATACAATCACGAGTACCATCAACAACACCTATTGTTGCACAAAATTCTTCAATATTAATTAGTCCACCAAATACACCACATGAATTAACATTACCTAATATTCGTGCACGTAGTATTGATTTACAACGAGCTATTATTGAACGTGGTTATTGTGATATGGATAAATTACCTAAACTTGTTGTACGACATACAAAAATTTATACAAATAAAACAATTGATACAATGGGACAATTATTTCCAACATGGTTTAATGAACCTGATTATCGTTGTATACATTGTTTTCGTTGTGATCAAGTATTTACACCACAACAATTTATGACACATGTTGATGATGAACATATGCAAAATGAACAACCATTAAATATGACATCAATACAATTATTAACATCAGAAAAAATGTCTGAATATAAAGTTGGATTGTAAGTTTTTGTTTTATTCAAAAAGTTTTTTTGTTTTTTTCTTGTGTATTTATTGACTTTTGATTATTTTATTTTATTTTATTTTTTGTATAGATGGAATCAATTTTGTACAAATCTTACTACCTATGCAAGGTAATATTTAGAAAAATAAAATGATATCTTTTCGATTTAATTCCTAATTATACTTTTCTTTCACAAAAAGTTCCTCCCATGATATTCAGTAAGTTTAGTATAATGGAAAAAAAGAAAAACAACAACAAATTTAGTTCAGGTATACAAAGAACTACTAAAAGAAAAAAAAATACAACAGCTATTACTTTTGCTCCTGCTGCTAATACATATAAATTCCAATTAAGCTTGCTTAAAATTATGTCATAAAGGAAATTCCTCCAACTGATAACCTTGGTTCAAGCTTATATTTAGCTGATCGTAAAGATAAAGATTCTAAAAGGATATGCGCCATGAGCGTTTTCTTCTTGAGTTATGATCATATTAATGAATTTTAAGCCTCTTATAAAATATTACGAGGGAAATTGAATCACAAAATCTTACCCGGAGGATAGACCTTAATGTTATTGTGTCCTATAAATTTCAGCAAAAATGAACAGTTGCTTTTCAAGATATTTCATATGCAAAAAAAACCGCATTTGTTCGAATCTTTTACAGGAAACCATCGGTTTTACAACACCGTTGTCTTTGCTTAAAGTTGTATCATGAGATCTATTTTCGAGTAAAATATGAGACTAATATTTTTTCCTTTTAGGATTTATATCTGCATCATAGATCCTAATAATCAGCAAAATATAAGTTCGAACAATGATTATCAATTGAAAGAGTTCCTTCGTCAGTTAAAACCAATAAGAAATTTCTATTTCATAGAAAGCAGAATTTTTCATGGACTGAGATATTTTTTTAAACAACGAAATCAAAATATATATAAAACCACGTCCCTTTTTTCTATCATATAGGTTGTTACTGATTTTGAATGTTATTTAATTTTTGTATTTTTTTTGTTTGTTTTTAGAGATGGTCGAATCGGTGGTTTTTCAACGAACAGAAGCATATAAAACAATGCTAATACGGACAAAATTTTTGCTCAACACTAAGTATATCTATAACATCAATGATTATTGTAAATGCATATAAATAATTTTCATTATTTAAATGGTGCTATTATACGCATCATTTTTCGTATGTTGTTTTATTTTTATTTTGAAAAAAAGAAAGAAACTCTTTTCGAATTCTTAATGTTTTCTATTGCCTGTGATTTATTTTGTTTTTATTTTTTTTGTTATATTCTCATTGTGTTTGAGTTTTTGTTCGTGAATATTTATGTCAACACAAGAAAAAAAACAAAAGGGAAATAATCGAAATTTGTGAGGGAAAAAAAATAACGAGACAATACAAGAATACGTATATACGTTTTTCTATAATGAGCGTCTAATGACAGAATCTCATTAATCTGTGATACGTAATTTATTTTGTTTTGTTTAGTTTCTTTTCTTTTGTTTTTCAAATATTGTTGTCTGCTTGTTTGTTGTTATTCACTGTTGTTTGTAAGTTTGGTTTAATCCTGATTTGTTTTTTTTTGTGTCTTTTTTTTTTTTTGCAAAGTTTATTACTAGAAATCGTTTGTTTGTTTGTTTGTTTTCTTTTTCTTTTTTATTTGAACATGGTTTGTGACACGTTCAATGTTGATCTCTTATTTCAATTTATAAGTGAAAGAAAAAAAAAACTAAGTGAAATAAAATAAAAAAGATATGAGAGATCATAATTTATTGTCATTAGTTTTCCTTTTTGAAAGACTCATTAGTTATGAAATGCGTTTGTTAAAAGGTATGTTCCTACATTTTTGATCGCCTATTTCATCAACTATGACAAGCAAAAAATTGACGTTTTTAATTAAATACAAATATAAAACAAAAAAAAATTGCGTCTGTCATCGTCGGAATTTAATGTGTTGACAATTATATATACATACATCAAACAATGAGGCCTTTGCATGCAATTTACTTTTATGATGTGATGACGGACGAAGAACACATTGACCTTGACGACCTGTTTAACTGATTGACTCTGCAAAGAATTATTAATTCAATAAAGATTTAAAATTCTTTTTTTTTTCTTCATTTTATTCATCTAATTAATTTTTAACTTGAAATTTCTTATTACACTATCATGTGATTCTTCTTTTCCTATCTCTTAACATAAAAATACTCGTTAATGTCAATATAAAATATTATTAACAAATTATATCAAAGATTGTATAATGCAATTAATCATAGAAAAATACAATACTCTATTTTATTTATCTATAACCGAATGATAACTAGATACTTAAAACGAAGGATAGATATAAACAATATACAATATAATGATTCAAAAAAAGACAAAAAAATAAAATTTTTCTTTTTTTTTTTTAAAAAACGAAAACGAAGAAGAAAAGTATATTAGAAGAGTACTTCACATCAAGTATAAAAAAGAAAAAATAAATAAATAATTCATTATTATTTTCATATTTGATTCAATAGACGAAAAAGAAAACAAAAGAAAAAAATTTTAATTCAATACTTATTTAAGTGTAGATAATGTAAACATTTCTCAATGTCGAATACTATTCAGAAATAAATGAGATTATCAAGAATATGTATATATATATAATAAACATTTGAATAACCATGAAGATGTAAAAACAAAAAACAGAAAAATTAAATTAATGTCTTTTTTTTTCTTTTACTCTATTTAAGTACTTGTTACTTTTTTTTTTTTATAGACTAACAATTATATAGGCGCGGTAGACAGATAAAATTGCTTGTAAATTTCCGGTCAAAAATTGTGACTGAATTAATTATAAAATAATTTTTGTAATGACATATTATTAGAACTCATTATACGCATTTTTAGACAATTTATTCTAATTAATAGCAATTGATGAATGAAAAATTAAATTGTAGTGATATTGAACACTTAGACATGTAATCATAATTATTTTAAAAACATCATTAAAGTTTACTTGCATTGTCATTTTTCGATAATAAATATAATTTAAGATCTAAGGTACTTTCTTACAGATTCCTACTGTCTAATTATTGAAACTACATATGAATTTATTATTTAGATGAATATGACTATACACAACAAAAAAAAAATATAGCGAAATATCGAAAGTGTTCAGTTAGAACGGTTTACATATATGTCATATTCGAAATATTCATGAAGAAAAATACGTCTTCTTGAATTTAATGCTATTATATTAAACATAGTGTTTTCTATCCACCCTCTGGTCTAAGACACTTTTAAATTAATATTTCTTTGTGTGCAACATGACATTGCATTCAATTTGATGTCAAAACCAAGGCTGAACCTGTCCAAATCAAGATATAATGAAATGTTTGAATGAAAATTCATGTACATGACAACAGAACATTTCTTTTGCAGATAACTGATTAATTAATAAAAGTTATATTCAAATGCGTAATTATTAATAAAATTATAATGTTTCAGTCGAATTTGGACATAAGAATTGATCATGGTATAAGAAAATATAATCACTTGATTAATAAGAAATTCTAATAATATCTCAAATCCTACGATTACTGTTTAACATTAGACATAAATTAGAATTTTCCTTGTACTAGAATGCAACGTCTTTTAAATCTTTCTTTGATTACTAGATCAATAAACCTATATGGCATCACTAATGAAAAATATTTTTGAAATAATATCTCACCGCTCGGTTCATATGTTTTCAAACAAGTAGAATACCATTAGTTTATTAACCTTTGCAGGGCGAAATATTTTTTTTCGTAGAAAAATAATAAAATATGGAATTAGGTAAAGTGAATTAATTTTCATTTCTAATTCGTCCTATTGATCTCTCAAAGACTGATGTGGCGCACATGTATGTCGCTCATACCAAATCACGAAATGCCTATATGCGTCTCCCATCTCGAAAGGATTAACAAAATCAATGCTTCAAATTTTTATTTTAATCTTAAAGGCATATATATCTGGATGAGCTTTCTTTTTTTTTTACTTTAGCCTAAGTCAGTCATATCTAATAAGATAATATTCAAAAAACAAAATACGAAAACTGACGTTCTATAAAATATATTTCATAGATCGATCAAATTCCAACAAGAACGCAGACATATTTTTTGAAAAGAAAATCTATCTGATACAAAAAACAATATATATTCGAAAACTTGCACTTACAATGGAACCGTCTGAATTGTTAATCGAGTTGAGTGGGCTTGTTCGGGTCAAATTAACACTCTTACTGCTAAACTAACAAATTTAAAATATTACGTCCCCATAGCGAGCCTAGACTGAGATAATCGATTTTTAAGATATTCAGTTTTGGTATGTGAACATAATATCATGGAAACTAAGCACATTCAATAGTTTACATAATTATTAGGTTTTTGAGAGAATACATTTTTGAAATCAGATAAAAATGTATAGATGATATAAAATCACATTAGATCTACCTCTTCCTGAAAGTTTAATAATACAAAAGTGAAAAAAGATATACTTATTATGTATCAAAAATGACATGTATATCAGATATACAATGGTTTGCAAAAAAACTTGGAACAAACTGACAGTATAAATATTTTATATTTTCTAAATTCCCTTGAGCATTTATTTTACTGTTATTGTAGGTTTAGACTTACTAGACTATCTGCTAATAATATTTGTGTATTTGATTAATTTCTATTTTGTCGCTCTTTATTTATAACCTGACATGGTAAAGGTAAACAGACTAAAAACACATTATATTTCTGTATTATATTATTGGAACATGGGAATTCGTTCTGTCAGAAAAATCCACTGAGATACGAAGATACCATTGTCTACAATTAGTTATCAGTTGAAAAAGCTCCGAACTCAAGATTCTCTAAAACATCGAGCAAGCAAATGGTTGAAAATCGACAAAAATTTCATGTTTGAGATTCTACCAGTTATCATGGAACAGTTGGTTTTCATTCATTTCAAAATATTAGAGCAGTGATTATTACATCAAAATATAAGGAAGCAACTTGATTTCCAATGCTAAACGACAATTTAATAATAAATGTCGAGTTCAACAAGATAACGACCGCAAACATTGATCTTCAACAACTAAAAGATGGTTGGTTGCTAATGTTCCACTTATTATAGACTGGCTATTGAATAGTCCGAATCTCAATTCGCTTGAAAATATGCGGACCATTATGAAACATCGGATTGAAAAAAAAAGCAACAAATGTTAATGAGGTGAAAATTTTTATCGATGAAGAATGGAAAAAAAATTGAAAAAACTGTTATAATCAATTTGATTAACAGCATGAAAAATAGATGTTCCTTAGTTACTGAGTAAAAGGGAAGACGAGTTAACTATTGAGCTGCATATTGTAAAACTGTATATTACTATGTATTAAATAAAGAAATATTGTTTTTGAAAGTAGTTGAAATAGGCGTCAATATAGACTAAAAATTTGTTCCAAGTTTTTTTGCAAACTATTGTATAAAGATCAAGCACGTTAATGCATGACTTTACGATTTATGGGATTGTTTATATATCTTGTTATTATGAAAAAGGAACGAACACAGACCCGAATGATTAGTATTAATAAGATCTTGGAAAGTTATGACAAATCTAATGACGATATAGGGTGAAAGCGATGCAAAAGTCGAGAAAAACTAATGGATAATTTGTGAACAGTCTCTGTAAGTTGTTTCTTTGTGATTGGTAATACGAAATCAGAATCAAATGCGCATTTAAAATAATATTGTCTTTTATTCTGTATCACTATCATCATTTAAAAGAGATCCATTTGATCCGAGAAAAAAATAGATGAATTTAGTTAACATCGTGAAGCATCTTCTTTATCTAACGGAAAGAGAGTTTTTCGATGAAGGTTCAGGAACAAGTGCTGATGAAATTGCTGCATCAGAGGAATTATTCGAAGTTTTAAAGTCATTTACAGACAGTCACTTTAGTGAACTCGATGTGTAACAAACTCTCACATGAAATAAAGTCACAAGCAATGATAATCTATTTATTATTATAGGAAATTGACGGCTTTTTTTCTCACTTTTGTATTATTAAACTTTCAGGAAGAGGTAGATCTAATGTGATTTTATATCATCTATACATTTTTATCTGATTTCAAAAATGTGTTCTCTCAAAAACCTAATAATTATGTAAACTATTGAATGTGCTTAGTTTCTATGATATTATGTTCACATACCAAAGCTGAATATCTTAAAAATCGATTATCTCAGTCCTGGCTCGCTATGGGGACGTAATATTTTAAATTTGTTAGTTTAGCAGTAAGAGTGTTAATTTGACCCGAACAAGCCCACTCAACTCGATTAACAATTCAGACGGTTCCATTGTTAGTAATGTAATGATTAAAAAAACAAATTCCAAATTCTTTTGTTTTATCTTTCTTATCTATTGACATATAATATAAACAATGTATGTTACTACGTGTTGGTATTCGAAGATATATTTTATTTCAAAAAAAAAAATAAACAAAGAAAATAGAAATCATATCTTTTCATATTATGATATAATGTTAACTGTACATGAACAAGAAATTAATGAAATTAAAAAAGTTTCTATTCGATATGATAATTCAACAAGAACATATTATTTTTTTTATCATAGAACAGATATTTTATCAACAACATTAATATTATCTTATGATCTTAATCAAAATCAATGGAATATTGATACAATTGAATATAATAATGTATTTGAAAAAAATTTAAATGATTTATTTAATGATAAAAAAATATCGTTTGAAGAACAAGTTAGATATATTATTGATTATCTCGATAATTATTTCAGTGAATTTAAATTGTACAAAAAGAAAAATACATAAATAAAAATTTATCTTGTTTAGTTAATCAATTACAACAACAACAACAACAACAACAGCAAAACATAAAAACAAATATGAATCATCATAGTGAATATATTTCAAGAGCATTCTTTTTTTTTCCTCCATAAAATATGTATTTTTTTATTATCAAGATATTTATTCTTTATCATGGTTTCGACATTTACGTAGTATACGTGGTTGGGCTATGTTTGCAGAACAATCAGCAGGTGAATTTGCAATCGATTTATTTATTATTTCTTAATTGAATTTATATAATTATTAGTATTACAACGTTATTCAGCACCTGAAAAATCTACATCTATGGATAATAATGAAGAAATTATATCAGTAAAAGCATTAGCTGAATCATTCTATTCAAATGATTTATATCGAAATGATACAAAAACATTTACTTCTCTATCAGAATATTCGAATGAACCTATTCAAAATCAGTTCGTATCAATTATTAATTATATAAAATTAATTCATTTTTATTTCTAGAATATCAAATAAACTACCAGCAATAACAGAACTTTGGTTAGATGTGTTTACACAAAAGTAAGTTTATTATTATTATTATTAAAATAAATCAATCATTTTCGAATTAATGATCCATTTTTTAGAATGAATAATTTTCGAAAAAAAATTGGTGGTCATATTGAAGAAGAAAAATTAAAAAATCTGGCAGAAAAATTTATTGCATCTTTTAATGGTACATTTCAATGTAATGTTGGACATAAGGTAATAAGATATAATCAAACATTTGAATTCAAGTATAGTTTAATAAATTAGTTGACTGTGATTCTTTAAAGATTAATTATTAATCTCAGATGTTACATTTACTTCTTTATAGGATTAGACCTAACATAAACTACGATTTATGGATATTATGATCTTTTTTGACTTCCACAGGGATGCAACAAATCTTGAGATAAATTTGAATTTGACATCAAACATTTACGATTTGAATTTGTAGTCTAGGTTTGGGAATAGTTTTGAATTTGTAATTTAGATACGAGTTAGGATTTGTTGAGATATGTATTCAGCGTTCTTCAAGTAGCCTATTCAGTACAATAAAGTTATTATTAAAAAATCCTTACCGATTGATATAAGTTTAACAATCTGAAAAGTTCTTGCAATGAAAATATACTATGGTCCATACAAACAGTTCGTGTGTAGGAGTATTTTTTGAATAACTCAACAACAAAGCGAGATAGAAATTTGCGTTTTTTCACGACTATGTAGAACTTGGAGTACTCAATCGATCCATTGATAGAAGATGAGAAATATAAACTTTTTAGGTAATGTTCATTATCGATCTTTGAAAGACGTGAACGTAGTTACCTTAGGTTTTATAGTGATTCATTAGTTTTAAATATCTAAAAGATAGCTTAGAGGACCCTCTACTACATGGCTAAAGATCGACCTGTGTACTTATTATGGTTCAACAATGTTACACATTCTCCTAGAATCTATAAAAGTGGGTATTCGCAACAGGATGGACTACAAATATGTATACTAAAGTTCGTTGTTGAGCATTTTTTGAATTGTAGGAATGACTAGCTTTAGTCTCGAACAACTTTCGTAGTTGAAGATGAAGAGAATATTACAAAATATCACTTATTGATATAAACAAAGATTTAATTAGTTCTTATGTACTGTGTTCATCTAGTTTACATCGTCTTTGTGACATTGCTGAGTATTTTCAAGATCCTTTCGATGTATTAAAATCGTCTTTTTAAAATATCACAACTAATCGCCACATGCACTAGTACGTTGATCATTGCAATTATTACTAGTGTTACTTCGAAGGATCTCGATAGCTTTGAAAAGTGGGAGGGTCTAAAGATTGGACAAACATTACTGGATCTTGTCGTAGACACTTGTTGAGAAGTCCATCACAGATTGTCTGGCAAAATTCAGTCAAACTTACGAATAAATTGAAAGATTTCATCAAAAACGAGACACTTTCTCGCAGATTTTGTGAAAACTGCTGATTTTCTGCTAGGTTCTAGTGAAAACAAATTGTTTACCAGATTTTCCAGACAGCTAGGAGAAAAATTTCCTAGACAAGTCAGAAAAGTAGGGACTAACCTACTCTATCCCCTCTCACATCATGGGAACTGGTTGTTTCTTAAGAAAGGAGTCCTGAACGACTAAACTGTCGAAAAGAAAGTAAATCAATAACTCTTAGTACTGTAACACAACAGCAAAGGCGATGTAAAATAGATGAATCTAGTATATAACAATTAAACATTTGTTTATATCAATAAGTGATACTTTGTGATGTGCAAATTTCTTATTCTTGATAGTGTACAATTTTAGCAGTCTATATGTATACTTAAAAAGAGATAAAGTGATGATGTATTGTATGTCTAAAGAGCTTTAAATGAAATAGAATTTAATATTCCTCTGACCAACAACTTGCTCAGAATCGTTTAACAGATGAATATACATTAGAAACCTATGACACTACAGAACTGCTAAGCCATATACGTAGCGAATACTATGAAAAAACATTCCAGTCAAACAATTTTCTAATAGTCTATGCGAATATACATTCTAGTTTGATACCTAAAGTTGTAAACAAATAATAAAAATTTTATAGGACTAAGGAGATTACACTACTGAAAAATTATATTTCCAAATCTAAATCATTTGGGTCATTTGAAACTAAAGATAAATCAAATACAAACCAAACCCAAATATCAGATATTAAATCCCAAACGTTCGAGTTTGTTGCATCCCTAGACTTTCATGAAGAATTATTAATATGATATAATATACTGCATATATAATACTTAATATGATTAGTTGATATTTGATAAGATTTATCAGAGAGTCATTAGGTTAATCTAAAAAGATGAAAAATTTCTTTTTGATAAATATAATGAAAACTTAAAAGTTTAACTTTAAGCATTAATAGTCAATAGAATGACTTTTGCACTTCAGTTTATAGAATATACTAGTTAGAATTTTAATGGTAAATACTAAGCTAATGGATAGAGATACGTTATGTGCCAGTATTCCGTACTTCTTTCAAAGAAAAAGCAGCAAAGACTTCAGTGTTAAAATCTACTGTTTCCCCCATTGAATTCTTCTTATGATCTGTTGTGATATATATATATATGGGAATAACGATAAAAAAAAAAGTTCTAACAGTGCGCAGCTAATAGACAGATATTCAATCCATAGTCAATTGATAGATTCGTGTATATAATCGATGAAGAAGAGAAATTTTCGTGGTTTTTTTAAAGTTTTTCTATTTCAGAAAAACTGCATTGTTATTTGCATTAGCATTGAATGAAACATTTTTGTATTAACCAGCATGACAGATGATGTTAGCTATCTTCATCTCTTATATGCTTTAAAACAGTTCATTGACATGTATTAAAAATATGCAACTGTAACGTGATTTTTTTTTCTGGATTTGAATGAAAAAATCTATTTCTAAAAATTCTTTAACGTTTTTCTCAAAATGTGATTTCCAGGCAGGAAAATTGAAATAGTTCCCATCCCGATTCAAGGTATAATCAATATTTTCTTTTTTCCTTTGAAGGTCTTAATGAGAGTAAACTTTTGTTCAATCAAATTTTTTTATATTGAATTTCTGACATGAGAAAAGTGGAATTTACTGTCATGAGGATCACCTTTTTTGTGCTTATTTGAACATCACTATCTCTATTAAAATGCTCACAAGAAAATGAATGGAACGAAATTTCACAATTCCGTTCGGACAAAAGTTGTGCACAAAGATTAACTTTAATTTGAAACCAGTTCGAGCTCTGTACCTTTAATAAAATCTTTCATAATGGGATAATTTCTTACTGTATACTATGAACTGCTTTTTATCACTTCCACTAACTAGAATAACTTTTCTAAAGTGAATGTTTTTCTTTGGTTCTACTTCTGTTCGTATATGGTCTGATATGATTCTAAGAATAAAAAAGATAGGCCGAATAAAACATAACAGACAAGCCCGAAAAAATCAGATGACAGGCATAAACAAGTTGGAAAGGTGTACTCCTATAACAGACAGATATTGCCAAAATATGCTCTGAGCCATTCTAAAAAAAATATCAAGTAGATAAAAAGTAAAAAGTTTTTTTCAAGTGATTCGCTCTGAGCCAAAACCTTAACAAAATAAATATTTGAAAAATGAAGTCAACTATAGACTTGCTACATATTTTGAACGGATTAGAGACATCAAGCATTTATCACAACTTCATCTAACATCATTTTTCCGAATATTTATTTCTTTATACTTTTGACTCAGACTCGAGTCCACTAGACTCGAACTCTATCGACTGGTATGAATTCTAATTAAAACGACATATAGAGTGGATCAGAGCATATTTTGCTAATGCTCATCACAGACGGGTCAGATCTACAAAAAAGTCGATCTGTTCGAAATCAGTAATAATATTTGAAATTCTTTAACATTCATCATAGAATAACTATGCTTTTTTTTTGTTTGTTTGTTTTTAGTATCAAATCAGATATGATGATCAAACATGGCATTTTACTGTAGTTAAAGTTGAATGTATATGAAAAAAAAAGAAATTCTTTATTTATTATATATTTTTTTTTGTTTTCTAGTTTTCACACAAAAAAATTCTGAAACTACAAAAATTCCAAAAACGAAAATAGTTTTTGTTATTGATGGTATTCCACATTATGTTCGAGGTTAAATACATATATATATATATAAATAAATTTTTTTTATTGAAGATATCCACATAAACTTTCTAATAAACGAAATACAGTATGAAATGTTAAATCTCTATAAGCAGCATAAGATGAAAATAAATTTATATATGAAGGTTTTGATGTTAATAATGAAAGAAATTTTTCTCGTTCTTGATTATTATGATGTTTATAATCATCATTTTTTAAATATGGATCAAGTACCATATATCGAATAGTTGTATAACGTTGAATAATTTCTTTTATATGAGTTTGATTAAAATTTAATCGTGATGATATTGTTAATATAATTTGTTGTGTAGAAATATTTGATAGAAATTCTTGATTATTTATTAAATAATTACTAATACGTTCAAGATGTTGATTTAATTGTATAAGTGAAATATTTCTATCATCAATATAAGATAAAAAATTTTCAATTAAATTTTTATTATTATATATTGTATTTATTGATGTTAAAGGTATATGATATTGAAATGTATCTATTGTTGATGATGTTAATATAATAAGACTAAAACGATGATAATATGGTTCAATTAATGTAAAAAATATATTAAGAAATGTTTTTATTAATAATAAATATTCATTATGAGAATCAATAAGTATAAGTAAATCAAATTTTGTTGTTTGACATGATATTTTATATTTATTACAAATTGGTGAAATTAAATCAGATTTATTTGAATTTGATATCCATTGACGTGGAGTATGTAATGAATAATCATTAAAAATTTGATTATCAACACTTTCCCATATAATATCTAGACCAGGAGTATTAGAACAATGTGGAACACTAATAGGTAAATCAATAATTGTTGTTGCATTATTATAATTATCAACTATTGGTCCATTTGCATAATCAGTAGCATAGAAAAATTCAGCTAGAAATTAATAATAATTTTTATGCAATACAACAAGAAAAAAAACAAATTGATTTTTATCCTAGAAAATCTCTTGATTTTTCATAGTTTTCATTATTCAATCGAAATAATCAGTTTGTTCTCCCTGAAATCACGATCTAAATAGAGTGTTAAAGCATATATCGGATAGAAATTTGTATCCATTTCCCTTCTCCACAGATACCTTAGTAACGTCCTTTCCCACGCCACTGACCGTGATAGCAGGAGTTCTGTGGATTTGGATAAATCTCCTTTATTTAAAAAAAGAGATTAAACTTACGTTCTAAAGTACTAGTTGTTGTTGATGCAAATTTTTGTTGAATACTCATTGTTGAAGGTAAAAGTGGATCAACACGAATAATTAACCAATGACCATTCGATATTTTTTGTATATATAAATTTCTATCACCTAATGATCGATAGACAGGTGCAGAAAAACATCTATCCGGTGTTTCATAAAATGTGTAATCAAATTTTTTTTTTAATGTTGAATTATTGTTTTTATTATTAAATAAAGTTAAAAGTGTACATTCCATTGTTGAACTATCATGAGTTTCAATTAAAATTGTTCGAAAATTATTTTTAAATAAATTTTCTTCAGGTGGATAACATAAACGATGATAATAATTAAATAATTGATTACCATGAATTACATCACCTAATTCTTCATATGTTTCAATATAATTATAATTTATAGGTGATGATACTAAAGCATATTTAGCATAATGAATAAATGCTGAATGAATATATTGAGCTAGATTTTGATTTGATATTTTATTAAAATCAATAACAACTATTCTTAATGGTACTGTTGCAATAAATTTTGCTAATTGTTTATCTTGTTGTTTATAATCATAAAGATATTTTGAACGTGATGTTAATATAACAAGTACATGATTTAATTTATTATAAGATTTTTTTAATGAACGTTTTTTACGATATGAATATGTTGTTATATTAAGAATAGTTTTAATTGCATCTTCATCAGAATAAATTAATGGATATGGTTCAGTATATATTTCATCATCATCATCATTAGTTGAATTATTTGTTTTTAGAGATTGATATTCATCAGTTGTATTGATTATATTTAATGGTAATAAAAATCGACGTTTAAAAATTTTTGTAACAATATTATGAATTGTTTCAGGCCATGAAACAAAAAATTGTTTTGAATTTTCATTATGTTTATCAATTGTATCAATTGAATCATATAAATGTTCAAGACTTTTTATTGATGTTTTTTTATCAAATGTATTTATAATATGAAATGTATCACTATAATAACTAAGTGAAATATTTGTTTGATTATATAATAACCAAATTAAAGTTTTTGTTAATAATTTCATTTGATTAAATTCATCTTTATTTGTAGTTTCAGTTAAATCGAATAGAAATGCTAATTGATTTGTTTGACAATGTGATGTTGATGAAGGATAATAACATTTCAGATAAACATCTGTATCAAAACAAAAAAATATATTTTATTATCTAATTATTTCGACTGTCCATAGTGTCGTGAGTAGAGATGTGCGAGACCAAATCTTTCTGGTCCTGGTATCTTATTTTCTAGCAATGGCCTTAATAAATCCAATCTTATCCCAATTCTGATCTGATTTTGATGACTGGAATTAAAGTTGGTTCTGCATAACATTTGTCTATGAAGAATGGATTTTTGATTAAGATAGATTATCATATATTATTTTTTACAAATATTTACTCTCATACATACAGTAGTCACCAAAAGCTCCGCTACATGCACCAATTCAAGATCGATTGGATTTAATGCATCGGATTTAGCAAAAAAAAAAGAATACGATTTTTTCATTTGGACCTCAAAAAAAAGGACTTTTCTGGTTTTTCATTATTTTGAAATGTTAATATCTATTCTTTTATTGACAAATCAAATTCCATATGTCATTAATGTGTCACAAATAAGAGACGCCATTCTACTGGAATCCAGAGACACAGTGACATTTTCATTATCTAGAACGATCTCCGCAGCATCAATATCGATAATCATGACATTATCAGAGAATTTAATTCTCATACTAAGATTATCTAAAGATAACTTCATAAATCAAGTAAACTATCATCGTTTGATATAAAAATTTTTATCGGTGATAGAAGAAGCATTGAGATCTCGATTGAGGGGTCGAGAACTATAAGATTTCTTGCTGATGTTGAAATATTCTCGTCTGAATTTTAAAAAAAAACTGTGTTAGTCGTCAAGGTCATTCACATAAAAGCCGATTAAGTTCTGATTGCTGATTACAACCGGAATTCATTGCATCCTATGGGTCACCAAAATATGAGACTAAAGGATTTGTATTTGGATATTTTTGTTGGCTACTTTTGATGAAAATTTTATTAATAAATTTATTTGATATCAACTCAAATATACGTATAATTGAAATTAAAATCAAATGAAACTGACATAGTTCTCTTAGTCGTATTGCCTATCAAGAATAGTTTATGATATGATCTTAATATCACAATAACAAGAAAAAAAAATAGGCTGATAATTCAATTCATTGAGCAGTACGATTTCAATAGACTTTCTAATATACAAGATCAGCATCGTTCTGAAATCAATGTTTTTCTTTGTTCTAGATTGAAACTAAAACGAACAATTTTCTTGATGTCCTATTGAGCATTTAAGACAAAAAAAAAATATTATTTACTCAATCCATTGCGTTATATCAATAAGATATTTCTTATTTATAGACAATGACAAAGAAGTTTTTTTCGTAAATTTTATACTGATAAAATTATCTATTTTCTAACAGAGACAATTCGTTCAAATTGATATTTCTAGATTCAATATATTCTATCTATTAGAGTTACATAAATAATATATAAAATGGTACGAATCGGTAACGGTTTTTTATGCACTTTTACAACATAAAACTATGACATGCTCTCCGTTTCAAAAATTTCACAGTACGAACTGAAAGAATCAAATAGATAAACTGATAAAAAAAAATCTAATAAACTATGTATTACTCGTCCAAAATATCACTAAATTTAATTGGATTTATTTCTTAGTATGCAGATAAGTAATGTTGACAGTTGTCCATAGCTTAATATATCCTTCCTACAGAATAGAAGCTCAGTTTCAAGTTAATGATCTTTCAAATGTAATAGAAGTTCAATCTATTCAATCGAGTCTAAAATAGCATTTTAAACCATTGAATAGATTAGTTCATTGCTTTTTCACTGTTAAGCTGTAATTTCCTTGATATATCTAATTTCGTTTATTCTACATGTTTTCTATTAACAAACAAATGAGTTTGTTGTCTTGAGTCAAAAAAATATCTACGCATATACATTAATAAGAGACAGCTGTTCAGTGATTGACAAATAGGAAAGAGACATGCTATTATATCATTCTGTTGGCCTTCTGTCTGTTATGGGATAATACAGTCTAAAAATAAAACGATGTCTATTATACTTATTAAGTTTACAAAAATATGAATAAAATCTTTAACTGAAAAATGAGACATTTTACAAAGTTAAACGATGGTCGGTTAAAATTATGCGAGAGTTTATCGAACTCAAAAAAACAACAACAACAACAATTATCATTGAAATATTCATAAGATCTATTTGATAAAAATAAAAAGCGCTCATTTGATCATACAGAATTTACTTTGTTACATTCTTCAAAATAATTGAAATATTCCATCGAAAAATGAAATAATTCAAAATTCAATATATATATATATATACTGTTTCTTACTTGATACAGATTTATATGTATAACTATTATTTTTCTCATGAACAATAACATGTTTCCATCGTTGTAATTTGATTTGTTTTCCAAGTGGATTTTGAAACATTCCAAGTGGCATTGCAAGTAAAGGTTTAGCATTCCATGCATTACACCATTCATATGTACCTAATTTATATGTTGAATTTTTTGTATCATATAGTATCCACCAACGATTATTTGGTGATTGAAATTGATATAAATTTTGATATTTAATTGAATGAAAAATTGGTTTATTCTGACATACATAATCAGTTTTATAGAATAGTTTTTCTTCTATATCATTCGTATGAAATGAAAATAAACCTTCTGG